ACTCTAAGGCCACATGCTTGGCAGCAGAATGTGGGAATCGAGTCAATGCTCTGTAGCTGTCCCAGTTGTTCTCAGGTGAGACATTAAACCGAGGTCCTGTCTGGCTGTTCAGGTGGACGTTACAGATCCCATGGCACTAGAGTTTCTCCTGATCAACAATCCCCCCAATGTAAAGTTGTTCATTCACTCCATAGCTGTTTGTGGGACATTGCTTTGCGCAACTGGCTGCTGTGTTCACACAGTCAATTCACTTTACAGTGTATCCTATGAAGTGCTTTAAGAAGTCTTGACAACATGAAAAGCTCTATATCAAATGCAAGCATTCCAGCACCTTGGGATGTCCTCCTGACATGAAAGTGCTAAATACATGCAAGTTGTTGCTGTTGTTGTCAAGTACCTGAGCCATGTGGGTCGATAGTACTCCTGGACACTGCTGATGATGGATCAGCCAGCCTGGCTCAGCAGCAGGACATGGTCGGACAGACCAGTCACTGGGGGCAGGGATTTTTTCAACCTGTTAAACCTGGAAGCCAAACCTTAATGGGTGAGGTGGTCCTAACTGGACAAGAATTGGGAAGACCATGCTCTCGACGGCTAATTGCAGTGTTTAAACCATTTTCTGTAAATTTCATATTTTCAGTTTCCTGAAAACAGAATTGGTCATTTACTTCATGCCAGTTTGTGAGAGATTACTGTGTGTAAATCGGGGTTCGCCTAACAGCAACTACACTTTACTGTATAGCTACTGTACTAGTGTCTGTGAAGCACTTTGAGACATCATCCCAATGTGAAAAGTGCTATATCAAATGCAAAGATGAAACCACTTCAAATTCAGTGCAAGAATAAAGAAATCTGTTTTTAGTTATTCTGTCTTTGGCAGCAAAAGTTCCCACTCCCTGTATACATGGGGCAGATTTTTCAGAATGGTGGTAAAACAATGTTGAAAAGTAGCTCTCTGCTAGAAATGAGAGATGGAGTTAAAAAAATGATCTGAACTGTATGAAGCCTGGTAAGTTTCCTTTCATGCATGTTTCTGTGCTTTCTCCCGATGTCTCTTTGATCAGTCTGTTCCTTTTCCTGCTGTCGGTTTTCTCTGCTTTTCGTTTTATGTCAAAATTTGCTGCTTGACTCAGTATTTCTAGCCTCGGGGTTGTAGTCGTAATCATCAGATAGAAACTTGGTTCTGTATCTGCAATGCTGATTGCGCGGAGGTGGGACATTTGCATGCATCAAAAGTGGTTGTGTTTTTTGCAAGGATAAATAGTATTTCTGATGACAGTGCTGCGGTGTGTGTGGAGTTGTGTGCTGGAAATAGCTTTGGGCAATATTTCTCTATGAGACTGGAAATGTTTTTTTAAGAGAAGCAGTGATGTGTTCAGTAATGTAAGGCTGCATGCATTAAGAACTTTGAACAAGGAGAAGAACTGCACTGTCTAAACCACTGTTAACTTATACAACTTCATTATCTTTGTGATGACTCCGTAACATGTCTAACTGTTCTGGCTTAGCCTGCCACTAAGGACTGGAGTTTTTCTCTAAGGGGAAAAAGATACTGTTTTTTGCTTGCGGGTAAATTGATCTATCCTTATCCTTTGGGTCTTAGTTCTGACTTGCCTGGTGTCATGTCCCAGACAGTAAAAATTCCAGAATTTCGCACAGTGCCATTCCTTTTGCATTGCCTTCCTGCACTGCGTTAATTTAAATAGTTGTTCACAATCAGCACTCTGACCAGCCACACAACTCGACCTTTGGCGTTTTATTAAAAAGAAGGTCCCAGTGATTCAGGCTTCATTCCACTTAGTGGTTCACTCTATAGCAAACCAGCAAGTGCACACACACACGTTTACGCATATTACAAATGCACACTTCCACATCTACACTCCTACATTTTCACACATTATTATTATAATAATACTTGCATTTGATGTAGCACTTTTCATGTTGGGAGGTTGTCTCAAAGCGTTTTTGTAAATTGTAGTGATTATTTTGTAGGCAAATGCAGCATTGCAATGTCCCACAAACAGTACAGATGTACAATATAATACTATACAAATTTACATTTATATGATGCCTTTCATGTCTGGAGTCCGTCCCAAGGCACTTAACAATACTTACATATACTTGGCCTCTCCATGACACACAGGCACTATTTTATGCACCAATGATCGCTGATGTATTCCCTGTGGTAAATCGCCTATGGATTGTATTTTTAGTGTTTTCCTGCTCTATTGAGGCATAAATGTGAAGAGAGGTTAGCTTGATCCCTGGAAGCAAGGCAGGGAGGAATTTGTGGTTTGGGAAACAGTATTGCAAAGCTTCTAGTTTCATAATCTTCCTATGTTTGAATGTGTGCAAATAGAAAGTAGACTCATTGATATGCTTTGGCTTTTATTTAAAATGGCTTCTAAAGGTGAACTGATGTAGAAAAGACCCCACAAAATTACAGAATACGCCCCATTTTCTGTTTAAGCCTGTCAGAAATCTGAACCAATGCAAGCAGGACATTTCTTAATATTTCCCTGCAAACAATGCATCTGTTTGCCGTCTGCAACATTTAAAATGGACAAAGTGATTGAGGGACAAGAGCTTATTTATTTTTACTTAGTCATTTTACACTCTGTCAAGGAGGTATTGCGCATTAGCAATATTATGAAAATTGTCATGCACAAGAACAAAGTTACACACCAGAAGTAATTATCCACATTCACTACAATCTTACAAAACACGAATTCCATTGAGATTGAATACCATTTATATTGGTGTAAAGTTTTCTAACATTGAAAGTGCTCTTCAAAATTATATTATTATAATAAAAAATATATATAACTCAAGAAAGAAAGCACTTGCATGATTATAGTGCCTTATATCAAAATGGCCCAATGTTTACAGCTAATTACTGTCAAATATAGTGGCTATATTTCTAGACAAACACAGAAGCAATTTGTGCTAACAAGGTTCCACGAATAACTAGGAGATGACTTTGCAATTAATCTGGGGATTGTTAACTGTGATATGGAGAGAAGTTTATTTCTCCCTTCACATTAGGTTGCAGGTTTTTTAATAGTCACCTGAAGAGGTAAAGAGGATCTCAGTTAAACGTTTCATCCAAAAACAGCTCCAATGACTGCACTGTTTAGACTGATCTCAAGTCTTGTAGAATTCTTTAATAATTTTTATTCAGTTGAAACATGTAGCATATGCTGTACTGTGGATGAGTGAATGGACAAATCACCTTTTTCCAGGGTGCTACTGCTCTTAGATCACAACTATGGGATGATTTGAACTGTGTGAACCTTTACCCTTGGAATCCTTGGCCAAGACATGACCCAGGAAGGGGGGAGGATTTCATTGTACCCTTTGATTGTTATAAATTTTACGTTCTTGTTTTTTTGATTCAGGTAAATGTAACAAACAATCCAGCCATTCCTATTTTTAAGAAACTTGTAGTCTTTTTCCTGGTTATGCTTGATTCAGAAGGCTAAAAANGCTAGTCTCTGGGGACAAACCTTTTAATTTGTACGACTTAGTCCAGACTTGTTCTCAATCTTACTTATTTTAATTCTTCAAACTACTATATTAACAAATTACTCAACTGTAGATTGATTCTGTGGAACTCTGCAAATAAAACGATTGAAAGCTTAATCTCTCTGAATAAGTGACCATTTTGTTCGAGGCTATTTCTGTGACTGACCTAACCAGGATTGGATTCCAGTTTTTTCCTTTGTTCTGCTGAAAGCACTTTTGTAAATCAGGTAGTTAGTCCTGCAGAAGAATTAAAACTATTTAGGTTTCAATGTCAGTCATGTTCAGACAAAGTACCATCCTGGCCTGAAAATGATAAGATTGCATCATAGTCCACTGTAAGCATTAGGAATTTGAAATCTGTGCAGAAATGTTTTTTTAATTAATAAATCTAAAGCATTTAAACCTTTGAAGATCTTTGGAATGAATTTCAGTGTTTCAGATCGACGTGCTGTACTTTGATGGGCAAGGCAAGTGCCTGCCAACACCATATTATAATAATAATAATAATAGTATAATAATAATAAATCCTTGCATTTGATATAGCACTTTATCATTTGAGATATCTCAAAGTGCTTCACAGAAACATACTGTAAAGTGAATTGACTGTATATTTTCTGGGCCTTTCAGGCCCAGTTCAGTTTGAAAAGGGTGACATTGTGTGGTAGAATAATGGGAGCTTGTTTTGCATTCATCAGTTCCCCACAATGTTAGTTTCAAATGCCAAATGCATAGATTTCCTTTTGTGTATTGGGGAGAGTGGGCGTGGACTTTAGAGGGTGGTGAATTTTTGCCAAAAACCTCTTCACGGTCTCTTTGGTTCATTGATGTGTATGTTTCTCCTGGCAGTTGGTGTTAGAGCCTGGGAGCAGCTTACTCTTTGGTCAGGCATTACCTGAGAAGATCCAAGGAGTTGAGGGGAAATTGATAGTTTGGGATAGTGAAAGGGAAGTTTTATTGTAATATGTTCCATACAGATTTGATGCACATTTTTGACATCGCCTTATGAATTCTTCTGCATGTTTATAGTCACTCTCTCCCTTCCCACGGATCAGCATCAGGCTCCGCCACTATTAAGCGCTCTGAGATGCTGCCCACCTGAAGGGTGCTATATAAATGCAAATTGCCGCTGTTGTTGTTCATTTTCTAATTAAGTCATAATTTTAAAAAAAATTAATTGGACAATTGGATACTTGGGTTGGATTTGAATAATGTGCACTATTTTATAAGTTCATTAGTCAAGATGTTTTTATTGTAAATGTTGATGAATATTTTTCCTTTTTTATTTATTTGCTATTTAATGTTTTTAGAGCATCCAATTTTATATTTGTAATTGACTAGCATTAAAATGAAATAAAGGGGTGATACAATTCTAGTTTGTCGTGTGAGCAGGAGGAACCCAGCATGATGGGCTATGGTTCTCTGCACTGTGGGATTGATGTACAGAATCTGACTTCTGTTTCCTTTTTACTTCACAGGTGCTCACATCATGCCGCATTTTTCTTCTGACTGCAAGAATCCCTACCAAGGTAGGGGTTAAGTGTTCACGCTTTCTCAATCCTACTGCTGCTCTTGAAGCATAACAGAAAGAACCATACAAATATATGACACAATAGGAGGATATGCGGTCCATTTTTTTGTGTGGTGTTTAACCTCCAATAAGCCATTCATCCAAATCCCATTTCTCTGCTTTTATCCCTATACCCTCCATTCATACATCATGATACATGACGTGATACATCATGTCAATAACATAGTTATTGATTTTTATCAGACTTGATGAGGGATTGCTGTAATTGAACACGTCAGATGATTGTATAACCTGCACATATTACATACTTGTCAATTCAGCAACTCAAAAAAAGTTTATTTTTTGTTTGATAAATGTTCTTTCATCTTATTCATTGTTCTTGGTTATATTTAGATGAATGGAAACCTGCACTAGAATGTAGATGACTTCTTAAAACACTGTTTATGTAACTTTAAGTACTAAACTTGATTAATTGTTGACCAAATTTAACTAAATTGCTGTGGCCACTGAAGAGCTAATGCATTCTGTAGAAGCAGACTCCACCTGAGTAAACCACATGATATTTTTATATTGTGTGCGGTTCCATTATAATTTGCAGGGAAGAATAGAGTAGATGAAAACTGGTATCCATCCCATTAAATTTATTAAGGTTAAATAAAACCTGAAAAGGTTGGGAGAGGGAAGACTGGTGAGAATAGAGTTAGATTTGGAGTGTGGAGTACGGAGAGAGGAGGTAGCTGTGATCAAAACTTTTAAATAGACAACGAACAAATTCCACCTGTCTCTTAGGAATATTCTGTGAAGTGCCCGGTAAATTAAGGAAAATTACAGTCTGCATCTGATTTAATATCCTTCATTACTTTCTCATTGAACAATTGACTGATGACCAGAAGTGTCCAGATTGTTAGCGTTAACAGGGCATGACATTTCCACGCTCCAAGCAGTTCCACACCATTATGTTTCACCTTTTATTCAACGATCTCCAAAGTTAATGCATAAAATAACTAGAAATTTAGTGCTGGGCGAACAAAGATATTACCTAGTACAACATTTATGAAGAATAAACATGTTGTAATTTAGAATTATCACAATGTGTGTGCTTTGCTTTTGTGACATTTTGTCTTTCTTCTATGTGTTTAACCTTTCTGTTGCTGTCTTTCTTTCTCTCTTAAACTCCTCACCACCTCACTCTCTCCCAAACCAAGCTGTTAGCAGTTCTCTGAGTGATCATGTTTCCGACACGTACTTTATTTTCTTGTTAAGAATGTCATTAAAAAATATCAATTTTTAGCTGTTGAACTGATCTGGGAGGGGGAGGGTAACTTGTATGCAAATATTTTGACACGCTGGTGTGATGAGGTAAATGAGGACTGTGCTGGACAGATGGGAAAATCTCAATGAATGGAATTCTGCCAGAAATTTCAAATGCTGGTAGCTGTACAATCTGAGTCCCTGGCTTTACAGGACCTGGACAATGGACACATTGCTGTGCTGAATTGCGGTATCAATAATAATAATGATAATAATCCTTGCATTTGATATAGCGCCTTGTCATGTCATCGCGATGTCTCAAAGCGCTTCACAGAATATACTGTAAAGTGAATTGACGACACTTTGTATGCGAAATAAATAAGGCCACAATAGCCTTACTCAGGTGCACAAAACGACAAAGCCCTACCATAGGATCTGCACCCAAATTTTAGTGGAATCCAATTCATCCAGGTGGTTGACTGACTTTTAGATGTTTTTCTTTCTGATGGATGGCAGTATGAAACAATATGCCATAGTTAGCGTTTGAAGCTGCACCGAACAATTTCCTTGCAGAGGCCAGGGTGATTTACATCCGGTTACCCGTAGATTTGATGTTTGTGTTTCCTTTCCAGTCATAGATTGTATAGAATAATACAGCACTGAAATGAGCCACTAAACCCAACTAGTCCATGCTGGTATTTATACTCCACAGGGGCCTCCACCACCACTAAATTGCCTCTCCAGCAATACCCCTTTGTTCTCTTCTCTGTTCATATACACCAACTCTCCTCTGAAATACACTGATGCTTTTTGCTTTTAACCATAGCCTACAACAGTGACTTCCACAATCTCACTATCCTCTGTGTAGAGTAGTTCCTGCATAATCTTTCTTGATTGCTGTATCTTAGTAAATTCTTCACTTCATGGCTGTTGGACCTTGCTGTGTGTAAATTAACTGCCAAGTTCACCTATAACTACATACTCACTACTGTTTACAATAAAATTCTGGGAAGTACTTTGAGACATCCTCTCAACATGAAAGGTGACGTACAAATAATCGTAGAATCTTACAGCAGAGAAGGAGGCCATTTAACCTGTGCCGGCTTTATGAAAGAGCTGCCAACTAGTTCCACTGCCCCACTCTTTTTGTTTTCAGATGTACATCCAATTTCCTTTTGAAAGTTAATATTGATTCTGCTTTCACCATTCTTTTATTTTAGGATTATTAAACCTGTATCTTGTTGAATGGGCAGTCTGTGGATTACCAGAACATGCTGCATCTCGGAACCAAGCATGTACTCTGTTTGGTTTGATTACTCTTAAGCATGGTAATGGGTTTCCGCATGTGTCAGACACCCGGCTGACCATCTCGGAATGTAGGAACACATACTTGGAAGCTGGGGGAGTGCCCTTCCTCCCAATGCCATTCCCAAGTTATCAGAAGGAAATGGAAGGAAGAACTGAATTGGTGCTTGTTCAACATTGTTCACTGCTCTCTCCCTTCCAACTCCTCTCTGTGCTGATACATTCTCCTGTCTGTTCTCAGTTAGCATCTGATAAGTCAAAGCAGAAAGAATTGAAAATGACCATTTTAAAAAAATTGTAAAGTTTATAAATGACATTTGACCAAATCCCGATTGGTGTCTGGCTGACACTCTGGCACTCCACTTGGACGCTCGGCAATCTCTGTTTCTACTTTGGTGAAGCCGGGTTGTGGTCAAAGAATGCCTTGGGACATTCTCCCGACGTGAAAGGCGCTATAATAATATCATTTTGTATTGTAAAGGAGCTCAGCATCTGAGCAGCGTTCCGGAGGGATTTTATTTGTAGGATCTATGTACTAAAGGGATGAACTTTACCGCTTTGTGAGTTGAATTACAATTTATGATGAAAGTAGCTCTTTTAGTGAATAAAACTTGCCCGAGATTTTTTTAAATCTCTTTGGTGAAGGGGAATAATGCAATCTGGTGTCTGTGAATTCTAGAACGTAATCTATCTGTCATCTCCAATGTACTTTTGTAAGCAGAGACCAGAGAGGTTTTCTGACACTGAGACAGGACCATTGACGTGAGCCTCTCACATATACTCTATCTTGTTGTGGGATTTTTAAGCAGCTCTGAAGGACACTTGGAAACTTAGCTGCTGTAGTACAGGAAGGAGGAAGAAGGCAACTTGCAAAAATAAATCAAACTGTTTGATCTCTAAATGAAGCTTTCATATATTAATGCCGATCAATTTTAATGATGCAAAAGTCTTTTAAAACATGTCTGAATTAATTGCCTGAGACTTATGGCGATGTGAGTGTGGGGCAGCATTGTGGTGGAGATAGAATGAATCCTGTTGGACGGGAAATGTGCCTGAAGGGCTTCAACCTGCCTAGTTGGCAGAGATCCCAGGGAAATGCTAGCTCAGTCAGCTGACCAGAAGCGAAAGCTAAAATCCTTAACTTTAATAAGTTAATTAAAAAGATCCAGATACAGCCTGTATGAGTAACTACAGACTTTTAGTGTAGAAGTTTTCTTTTATAAAAAATTCATCATGTGTAGCTGGATAGTATTGGTTCATCATTCTTCTGCTTTGCGAAACTTGTTGATTTGTAGCTGTGACTTGACAGAGGTAATGAGAATGGGTTGAGCTGATGGATCATGCTTCACTCTGTGAAGCAGGTGTCTTCTGCAAAGGTCCAGTGAAGATTTGGTTCCACAGACTGTTCATAATGATCAAACACTGCTGAGCACAAGGACCGTCAGTGCAGATGTTAATAATAATAATCCTTGCATTTGATATAGCACCTTATGACGTCTCAAAGAGCTTCACAAAATATAATGTAAAGTGAATTGATTGTATTTTGTGGGCACAACGCAGCAACCAATTGCATACAGTAATAACAGCAACTTGCATTTATTTAGTGCCCCTCACATAGAATAATGTCTCGGAGCACTTAACCTGTGCACGTGGCAGTTACAGTGGCTCCTTCACTTATGACTGGTGGGTTTGCTAATCCAAAATCTGAGCTACTTGTCAAAGACCAAATGCCCAATGGCATTCAAATACAGTACCACTGCCCCCTTTGCACCACGGTAAAGCATGGGTACTCTAAGAGCACATTATTATAATAGATATCTGTGGGTTAAATGGAAGGCTGTCATCTTCTGCTTGAAATTGGGGAAATCCTAGGTAACTTTGGTTCCCTTCACAGGGAGCTACTCAGCACGATCACACACTGCAAACCCCCCAACCCCATATGAGTGGGTCAGCTGGTTTGGCTACGAGAAAAACCAAAGTATTTTGTGCAAAAACCTCATTGTGGGGAAAGAGGTGGAATTCAGCCAAGAGTGACCATTACCCTTCTGCTCGCTTTTACTCTACCACACACCCACCTCCTTCCTGCTTCAGACCACACAGAATGGTGGTCAAGTAAATATAAAGCATTTCCAGCTCCTTCACTAAATGAGTAAAATGTATCATTGAATGAACTACAATCTCAGCTGACTGAACCCAGTAGTGAAAACAACGTTTTCAGTTTTGTTCTGCGTTTCATCCTTCAGATGAGACTTTAAACTAAGGTTTCAACTGCTTGTTCAGGTAGATGTTAAAAATTCCATGGCCTTATTCAAAAAGAAGAAGTTTCACCCTTTGACCTGTTCAACAAATCCCCCAAATAAAATGGGTCACTCCATGGCTGTTTGTGGGACATTGCTGTACGCAAATGTCTGCAGTGTTTGCTCACAAAACATACAGTCATAT